GAGCTGCAGGTGTCCCTGTCCTACCAGCCCGTGGCACAGAGGATGACCGTGGTGGTGCTCAAAGCCCGGCACTTGCCCCGCATGGACATCAGCGGCCTCTCAGGTAGAAAGTATTTACCCCAAATTGAATTTTGGGGAAAAAAATCCTAAATTTTAAATTTATGGGGTTTTTTAAAATGGGTTTTGGATGGAGGGGTTTGGGGTTTGAGGGGATTTTATGGGGTTGTGGATTGGAGGGGTTGGGGGGGTTGTATGGGGTTAATGGGGTCTATTTATAAAATAGATAAAAATATCTATAAAATAGATTAAAATATCCATAAAATATATAAAAATATCTATAAAATGTATAAATTTATAAAATATATTTAAAGAATTATAAAATCCATAAAAATAAAGACAAAATTCCCCTCCTTTTTTCCGTCTCAGACCCGTACGTGAAGGTGAACGTGTACTACGACCGCAAGCGCATTATAAAATCCATTATAAAAATACCTATAAAATGCATCAAAAACCTATAAAATAAACAAAAATACCTATAAAATACATAAAAATTCTATAAAATATATTCAAAATATGTACAAAATCCATAAAAATAAAGACAAAATCCCCTCTTTTTCCCCCACAGACCCGTACGTGAAGGTGAACGTGTACTACAGCCGCAAGCGCATTATAACATCTACTATAAAAATACCTATAAAATACATAAAAATATATATAAAAATACCTATAAAATAAAAAAAAAAATCTAAAATCCATAAAAATAATGACAAAATTCCCATTTTCCCCCCAGACCCGTACGTGAACGTGAACGTGTACTACGGCCGCAAGCGCCTTATAAAATCTACCATAAAAATACCATAAAACATACAAAAATACCTGTAAAATATATAATAATAAGTATAAAATATACAAAAAATTCTTAAAATAATGATATAAGTTTTCTTTTTTCCCCGCAGACCCGTATGTGAAGGTGAACATTTACTACGGCCGCAAGCGCATCGCCAAGAAGAAGACCCACGTCAAGAAGTGCACTCTGAACCCGGTGTTTAACGARTCCTTCACCTACGAGATCCCGGTGGATTTGCTGTCCCAGCTGAGCGTGGAGTTCCTGGTGATCGCCTTCGACCGCAGCACCAAGAACCAGGCGCTGGGGCGGCTGCTGCTGGGGCCGCAGGGCCGCGGGGCCGAGCTCTGGGGGCGCCTGGCACAGGGGGGCAAAACCGGGCCCGAGTGGTACGGGCTCAGTGAGTACTGACAGAGGGAAATAGTGGAACCCTGCCAGGACCTGGGGTTGATAGCAATTGGAAATTTTCCCCACTGAAAAG